CCCGGGCTTTCCCGGGGCCTCGCACGCCGTCACCGCGGGAGACGTCTCGGCCTCGCCGCGCGCGCAGAGGGGACGCGCGGAGGGGCTGGTTTCTGGGCGAGCCGAGAGCTTTGCCCGTTAAGCTGCCGCAAGAAGCCAAATCAAAAAGCCAATCTCCAAGCCTCCAACCCCAACGTCACCCTATCAGCGGGGAGAGGCAGCCGCACCGAATGACAAGCCGCGCGCATTTAGCCCGGCGCGCCGAGGGGACACTTCGCAGCCCAGCTTTCCGGCCAGTGGCGGGGGACGTCGAGCCTGCAACCTCGCGTCCGGAGAACCCCGGAAGACCCGATTCGGCCCAGACCACCCCCCCCACACACACACCGCCCCCCTACCCAGCCGATGGCGCCTCTGGACAGGCAGCGATTCGGGGACGGCGGCGCGTTCTGACCTGGATTCCCCGGAGTTGGGAGCTCCAGGCAGCGGGCGGGCGGGCGGGCGGGCGGGCGCGCGGCACCGGCTTTCCCCTTGTCCTCGGGAGACGCCGCCTGCAATTCCGAAATGAAGTCTCCACCAAACACATCTGTGGTTTTTTAAATATAGCAGGGAAACGACTCCCCAGGCAGGGTCCACCCAGGCCTGGGGGAGGAGTTGAGGGGGAGATGGAGGTGGATCGTGGAGGGAAAATAAAACTCTTTTTTTCCCCCCTCTCTAATTTTTCCCCCTCCTTCTCTTCTTGATGCAGAACTTAGCCTGTCATTTTCTCAACCAAGTCAAACAACAGCTTGTGAGAGAGACGCTTGGGTGAGCGTTGGTATGTTGGCTTTGGGTTGGTATTTTTTTTTAAAGGCTAAAAATAAAAAGGGGCTGTCTCCCAAATTGTTGCTTGTTCTGGGCCTGGAAGCTTGGAGGAGAGATGGTCCTTTGATGCTGAGCAGAACTAGGGTTTGGGGCTTGGCCCAAGCAAACTGTGCATACACAGTCTTAAATCAAAGGTCTGTAATTTCTGCTATATTTGTCAGGCGTGGTCCTGAAGGCTGGTGTTGGGGGGTGGGCAGGTCTCGCCTGAGGAGGAGGCTTGGTGTCCTGAGTTTCTAGGTGGCCTGGGGCAGCTGTACAATGAGAGTAGTGACAGGGCCAAAATCTCTCTTGCAAGCTTCTGCTCTCTGAAGCTAAGTACAAAGGGCCAGCGCAGTAGCAGAGTGCTCAGCAACCATCAGCATCTCCTTAGTCAAGAGCCAGGACTGGTGCAGACAAACTTGGGCTGTATGATTATGTGTTACCCTCCTAAAACTGTGTGATATAGATACAATTACAATGTCTCTTTGTGATTGGCTGAGGAAATTGAGCCTTAGAGAGGTTAAATACTCATGTCCAGGCCACATGCAGTAGACCCAAGGATGGGACCAAGATGAAATCATCTTGAGTGGTGTTAACACGCAATAAGTATGACACCACAGCAGTATGTACAACTTCTCGGATGCTGGATTACCCCTGAGAGGCTGCTCTTGAACAGCGTTGGCCCAAAAGAGGCTGAGTGGATGCAGAGGTAGTGAGCATCTGAACTAGGGAGGAAGTAAGCTCTTGTCTGGCCCCTAGTCAAAATGTTCCTTTAGCAATGCATGGGATGATTTGGTGCTGAGTTTGGGTCTTGGATATGCTCAGTTAGGAGCGCATTCAACCTCCTGATACAGTATGGGTCTTGGATTCAATTGAATTAGACCTGAGACTGTGTCTTTGTAAGGCTTCAATAATTTCCGAGGCTGTAGGGTTTTAGCATCTGCAAGCATTGGGCTTTACCTTGTGCCCATCTTATGAAGGACCACAGTATTGCTGACTAGACTGTAGTCAGGAAGAAGAAATATTGGTGAGTTTACAAGTTAGTATGTATTTTAGAATCAGTTTTGAAAGCTATATCACATTCCTTTTTTTAAAAAAAAAGTCCCTGTGATTCTGTAATTTTACTGGAAGATATGTCTTCTGTGGCACTAATTAAATGTGTGAATAATTCTATACGTTATACAGCTACATGTGTAGACATTTTATTACAAGGATATTCATGGTAATATTTATACTGGTTAAAAAATGGAAACATTTGAATTTTTCATCAGAGACCATTGGTGGAATAAATTGTATTCTATTGATATGGTGGTATATTTATTCTGCTGCTGCTGATGTGTGTGTGTGTGTGTGTGTGTGTGTGAGTGCGTAGAGTTCTATGTATTGACATGAAGAGATTTTCATGGTATATTATCAGAAAGAGATTATGATAAAAACAAAGTATACAACTTGTAGGTGGAGAAAGGAGGGAAAAACTGGGAGAGAGCAAGGGAAGGGGTGACATTGTACAAAAAGAAACGTACTCTTTACCTGCCGTGTAACTGTAACCCCTGTGTACATCACCTTTATAATAATAATTTAAGAATTTTTGTTGTTGTTGTTGATCGTAGGGCTTGAACTCTGGGCTTAGGTGCTGTCCCTGTGCTCTTCAGCTCAAGGCAAGCACTCTATCACTTGAGCCACAGTGCCACTTCTGGTTTTCTAGTGGTTTACTGGAGATAAGAGTCTCACGGACTTTCCTGCCTGGACTGGGTTTGAACCTCGATCCCCAGATCTCAGCCTCCTGAGTAGCTAGGATTACAGGTGTGAGCCACCAGCGCCCGGCTTAAGAATGTTTTTAAAGAAAGAGAGAGAAGAGAAAGAGAAAGGAACAGACAGGCATAGAAGATAGATAGGAATGGTGTGTGTGTGTGTGTGTGTGTGTGTGTGTGTGTTGGTCATTAAGGAAATGCTCTCCAAAGAGACCACAGTACTCCGGTCTCTTTGACTCTCTCTTTCATTTCCTCATCATGAGCTGACTGGTTTTTCTCAATCACTTGTTCTTGCTATGATGGGCCTTGAGTCAGGCTCAAAGCAATCACAACCAACCAGTCATATGGACTGGAAACTCCCACACTGTGGAGCAGAATAAACTTTTTGTCTTGCTAAGTTGTTGATCTCAGATATTTGTCAAAGGAATGCAAAGATGACTGGGTTTTGATAAAAGTATGTACAAGTAGAACCAGCAAAGTGGAAATATAGAATATTTTCATCTCCCCTGAGGCTCCCTCTAGTTCCTTTGTACTCATCTCTTTCCCCAGATCATCCATGAGTCTGCTTTCTCTCACTATAAATTAGGTTTGTTTGTTCCAGAGTTTTCTTTCCACTGCATAGATCCATAGATAGATAGATGATAGAGAAAGATAGATGTAAATACTGATAAGCACGAAATCTCCTCAATGGACATTCCTCACACACTATGGCCACAACAGTATGAATCAGATTGATTTGGGCATATGTTTTTAGCATAACTACAAAAAAACAAAAGCAAGCAAGAGCCCAAGCTCCCTCTCATCAGGACATTTCTGAGTAGAAAGGTGAGAAAGGAAGGGAAGACCAAAACGTGTTCTAGGCAAAGCTGACTTGAGTGTGTGCTCTGCCTTCTAGTTAGGCTGAGATAACAAAGCCCAGTTCCACACTCAGCCACGATGCCTTCATTTCAATTGTTTAACTGGAAATGATGATGATGATGATAATCCTTGCTTCTCTCCTACTCTGAAGTCCTACAGCAGCTTTCATGTGGCCAGTGATGTTGCAGATTCCTTCACGCTCTGGGAAATCTCACTTTCTCCCTTCTCTTAGTGACATGGATGCAGGCTTGGAAAACAGTGTCTTTGATGGCCATCTTCCTTCCACTTCTGCCATTGTTTGTTCATTTATTTTTAGCTGTGCTAGATAGAACCCAGGGGGTTTTCACAGGAAAGCCTGCAAGCTGGCTGTTTATCATCAGCATTGAGAGCAAGAGCCACAAACCTCCTGTTCAAGTTAAGAAGAAACTGAGGCCCAGAGAACTCAGGAGATGCAACCTAGTCACAGAGCTTAGCAAAGAAAAGAAAGATTAGCATGCTATGGGGATGAACTGTGTTCCCCAAAATTTACATGCTGAAACCCTAACCCCCAGTACCTTAGAAAGTGACTCAATTTGGAAATAGGGTAATCAACCTAAAATGGAGTGGTTACGCTGACTTAGATCCATGTGATTGGTGCCTATAAAAGAGATTGGGACACAGATAGAAGAATTATTTTGTATGTAGGCCATCTACAAGCAAAGAGAAACCAGAAACCTTACTTCTTTACTCTCTTTTATTCATTCTTTCTTACTTTCTTTCTTCTTTCCCCCAACCCACCTTTTTCTTTTTCTTTTTGCCAGTCCTGGGGCTTGAACTCAGGGCATGGTCACTGTCCCTGAACTTCTTTTGCTCAAGGCTAGCACTCTACCACTTGAGAGCCACAGCACCACTTCCAGCTTTTTCTGTGTATGTGGTACTGAGGAATCGAACCCAGGGCCTCATGCATGCCAGGCAAGCACTCTACCACTAGGCCACATTCCCAGCCCCTTACTTTCTTTTTAAAACATTTTGGGTTGTTTATTTGTTTTGCAACAGTGTCTCTATGTAATCTAGGCTGGCCTCAAACTCACAATCCTCCTACTTCATACCTGGGATTACAGGTATGTACCACCACACCTGGCTATGTACTGACATCTTGATCCTAAACTGCTCACAGTCTCCAGAACTGTGAGAAAATAAACTGTGAG